GCGGCGGGTGCTCCTCTCGGGCGACTGGGAGTCGCCTTCGGGACAGCCTGTCCGATTTCGCATTCCCACGACCTTCCAAATGGCCGATAGGACCACGTGCCGTTCGGTACCTTCTCTGGGTTCTCTGTTTACCATAAGTGATCCATTTTTTCTCTTCTTCTTGTAGGTAAGCTGAAGCAGCCGATCGCAACGCAGGCCGAGATTCAGCAAGTGGAGAGAGTGAGGAGGAAGGTCCCTGCCGAGGAGATGGTGTATCCGCAGTTCCTCTTCACCACCAATCTGATTCGGGCCCAGCTGGTTGATCCCGCCGAGAGTAAGTATACTTCGTAATTTACAAATTGTTTCTTTTCTTCTGTTGCGGGTCTTACCGAACCCTTTTCTCGCAGTGACGGAAGACAGGAGAGCTGCCGAGGTTGAGCCTGCCAGGGCCATCTTCTCTGCCGAGGACGATGAGGTGCCTTCGGAAGCTGTTACTCTGGCCTGTCCTTCGAAGACGGTGCAGTTTGTGAACCATATGATCCTCGGTTCACAAATGGAGCTGCCCCTTCCGTCTTCAAGCATCGGTAAGTCCCGAGTACTTCCAGGACCAGTATCACCGATCGTTTTTTTTTATACTTTGGCTGACATGTCCTTTTGTTCTGCAGGCCTCGATGGATATGTGGCTCTGCATGAAGCGGGCCATCAACGCTGCTGAAAAGGGGAAGAAGGCCTACGAAGACGGCAGGGCCAGGGTTGCCGAAGCTGGCAAGGCTATCCAGGACCAGCAAAGGTTGCCGAAGCTGGCAAGGCGATCCAAGCCCAGGCAAACTTGGCCAAGGACATGCAAGCTGCCGAACGGCAGGTAAAGAGTTTTCAGGCGCAGCGTGGTGGGGGGGCGGTGGGGAGGCGGCGCAGCTGACGGCGAAGGAGGCTCTGGAGTCGAAGGAGGCGGTCCAGGTGGCTTTCGAGGAGTCCGAGCGGACCAGGGCTTCCGAGATCGAGGCTGCCGTACGGGAGGCGATCCAGGGCTACCGTCGGTCTACCGAGTTTTCTACCTTGCTGGACAAGGAGGTAGGCTCGGAAATGGCGAACCTTCTCTACCGTTTCAAGCGGTACAACCCCGGAAAGAAGCTCAACCTCAATTTCATTGCCGATCCTCCCCTCTTCCCGAAGGCATAACCGAAGAGATGGTCGAGGAGTACGAGGGGGAAGATGCTCCGGAGGTGCCTGAAGCCACTGGTGCCGAAGGGGCGGATGCCGAGGGCCCTTCCTCCTGATCGCCTCCGTCTTATTTATTGTAATTGTAATGCCGAGGGCATTTTTGTAATTTCGTTATAACTCTGATGCCGTTGGCATCTTTTGTTTGGATAATTAATGCCGTGGGCATATTTTTATCTTTCTAAACTTAATGTCGAGGGCATTTTTTAAGTACTTAATTTAATTTTGATGCCGTAGGCATTTTTGTAATTTCGTTATAACTCTGATGCCGTTGGCATCTTTTGTTTGGATAATTAATGTCGTGGGCATGTTTTTATTAAAGTTATGTTTTCACTTTAAATTACTTGCATCTTCCTTCCGAATCGGTAGCATACTTAGGGAATGTTTCTGTTTAATGCCGAAGGCCCTCAAACAAAAGGTCATTGGCCATTGGCCAGTAAAGTTTCAAGTGTTAAGGAATTGAAACCAATGGGCATGCTTGCCGATTGTAAAGCAATGGCCCGTAATTACCGAAAGCCTATAATGCCCAATAAAGTCTACAAAGTTGTCCCTTAATCGGTAGGATAATGGCGACGCCAAAATGTGTAGTTTGCTGCGACCGATGGTCTCTACCGTACCCCTTTTTTTTTTCTAAAAAACAAAAAATGGAGAGATTGAAAGGTACAACAAAGGTGCCGAATATATGAGCCGAAGATCTACAAAGTTGTCCTTTAATCGGTAGGATAATGGCAACGCCAAAATGTGTAGTTTGCTGCGACCGATGGTCTCTACCGTACCCTTTTTTAAAAACAAAAACAAAAACAAAAAATGGAGAGATTGAAAGGTACAACAAAGGTGCCGAATATATGAGCCGAAGGCCCTTTTATTGATAAACTGCCGAAGGCAAGAGTACAATTAGGAGTGCGTTTTACAATTTAGAACCCGCCGTTGGCTAGGAAACGCTGTAATGCCGAAGGCTGTGCATGTAGAGATGCCGAAGGCTTTTGTGACTCCTCCGTGACACTGCCGTAGGCAAGGTGACTTCATTTGAAATAGTACTTCAAATGCTCTACGTTCCAGGGATGACCGAGGGTCTTTCCGTTGGAGTCTCTGAGTCGGTAAGTCCCCGATCGCTGGATACCGATGATTTCGTAAGGTCCCTCCCAGGAAGGTCCGAGGGTTCCTTCCGTGGGATTCTTGGTTGCCAAAGAGACTTTCCTCATGACCCAATCTCCGATTCGGAAAGAGCGGGATCTGACCCTGGAGACATAGTACCGAGAGACGCGTTGCTTGTAAGCTTCGTTCCGAAGGTTGGCTCGTGCTCGGCGTTCTTCGAGCAGATCGAGGCTCAAAGCGAGTGCTTCCTCATTTGCCTTCGGTGCGAAGGTTTCCGTTCGGTAGGAGGGCTCTCCAATTTCTACTGGGACTACTGCCTCCGAACCGAAAGCCATAGAGAATGGTGTTTCCCCAGTTGCGGTTCGGTAGGATGTCCGGATGGCCCATAGCGCTTCCGGAAGTTTTTCCGGCCAGATTCCTTTGGCTTTGTCAAGCTGCCGTTTCAACAGCTTCTTGACAATTT